TAAGGCTACACATCAATTGTTGCCATATTCTTGGCCAGGATCGCTTAAAACGCCTTTGCTGCCTTTTCAAAAAGCTCTTTGATTTGACATTCTGTTTCTGCGAGCAGAAAGACAGGCACAAAGTTTGATCTGTTGCTTTTTATTTTTTTCCCTAATCCTTCAGTTATTCAAAAGATCACTTCTGAACAAAGAAAAATGGGCAGCTTGCTCTTTGAGTGTTCTGTTTTTGTTGAGAATACATTTGGTTTTGTTCCCCCATGCCCTTTTCGTCATCACTTGTTCTCGTCCTCCGGGTCCCTTCTGTTAACCAATCAGCTCCTTCAACCCTTTGTGTCTTGTCCAGGTGTTTCTCGTTGTCTCATCACCTTGCTTGTATTTAGTTCCCTGGGTTCTGTCAGTCTTCGCTAGATCATTGTGTGTATGTGTGCCACTGTCATGTTTTGTTTCTGGCTTAGGTTTTTGTTACTTTGATTTCCTGTGGTTTTAAGGATTTTGTTTGGATAGTTTGCAGTTAGTTGTTTTTTTTTTTGTTTTGTTTTGTTTTTTCCCCAGTGTACTCTTGTTTGTATTTTTGTTAAATGCATTTGCTCAGTCCACCCTAATCCCCTTTCCTGTCTGCTTTTTGGGGTCCGCCACCCACCACCTCGCAAAACATCACACTGAGTTCTCTAAAACTGAAAAGTATCAGGAATTATTTTTAGTCTGAGACATAGGAATGCAGGCCTATTTTTTATGAGGTGGTTACAGCATGTATAGGAAAAAAAATGGTACCCCGACACATGCTGCGCACACTGTGTGTGACCCTTCAAGTCTTACGTCACTGCTAGGATAAACAGTGCCCCCTCATGGCTGTAAGATGACATACACCCTTTGTGTCATTCAATTTGACACTAAGTGGGAATGGAGGGATACCATAATACTCCAGTGTGCCTGTCTGCTTTTTGGGGTCCACCACCCACCACCTCGCAAAACATCACACTGAGTTCTCTAAAACTGAAAAGTATCAGGAATTATTTTTAGTCTGAGACATAGGAATGGAGGCCTATTTTTTTATGAGGTGGTTACAGCATGTATAGGAAAAAAAATGGTACCCCGACACATGCTGCGCACACTGTGTGTGACCCTTCAAGTCTTACGTCACTGCTAGGATGAACAGTGCCCCCACATGGCTATAAGATTACATACACCCTTGTGTCATTCAATTTGACACTAAGTGGGAATGGAGGGATACCATAATACTCCAGTGAGTTAAACTTTTACACAAACTGAATCACTCAATTTCCTCGCGATCTAATGCCTTGAATGGGATGGAAGGGGAGTTTGACTAATTTACCTTGAAAATCAAAAATCGATTCATTGGTTAATGATTACTTCCTATGGTGGCGTGAGTGTGAAGACAGGCGTAAAAGTATCCTATCGTGATGTAGCATGAAACGCAGGCGAGAGATGCCAACCATATTTTAACCACTTGTCAGTGACGAGTAAAATACGCTTATTTTCACAGGTTTCGATGGTGTGTGATATCGGGTTAATTTTGACAGCTGCAGGCATGATGATGTCATATCCTGAGCTCCTGGGAACGGTTGACAACCATGTCCATATTCCCACTGAAAATCAACCGATGCTTTTTTTTTTCCACACCAACAAAAGCAATTACGTGAGCTCATGTGTCATTTTTATGGCCCGACACTATATGGATCATTCACTGCCACACTCTTCTGCCAAGTGTTGTTTTTCATTTAATATTTTGTGTCCCCTCTTTCACATGCCAGAGAGTTGACGGCCAAAACATGCATTTATCTTTCCCCACAGGGTTTCAATATATGCTGCACAGTCCTCTCTGTGAACTGCATACCGCTGCCAGGCATATTTTCATATCTGGTAAATACTGTCCTCTAGTGCGCGACACAAACACAGATTTGTTTTTGCAGCCAAATAGCAATTCAATTTCCTCTCAGGTTTTACATGATGACCATCAGGAAAAATTGGTTACGTTTTTTTCATGAGTTTTTGAAACGTATCACGCACAGGCAATTATATAAACGTGCTCTCTATTCCCATGAACTCATATAAAACTATTGAAAACGTCATAAGATGCATGCCAGGTCTTCTAATTACCCATTACCCGATTGATTGCAAGTTTATATTTTGACCTAATGCTGGATGCAGTAGCAGTGCTGTAAATGTACACTTTGCTGTGGCAAAAAATCATGTCTATTATACTGCACAAAACAAAAAAACACACCCAGTGCTGTAAATGTACACTTTGCTGTGGCAAAAAAGCATGTCTATTATACTGCACAAAACAAAAAAAAAAAAACGCATGGCCTCCATTTTCAGAAACTAGAATAAAATTGTTCACTCTGCCGTCAAGAAGATTCAATTCAAGGCACTTCACAATGTTATTGCCTTTCATGACTGTTTCTTATTCTTTGTGTGTTTAGTGATGCTTGTGCAGAGCACAGGTGTGCCGACGTAAGTCGTACAAAGTAGGACAAGTACAGCATTATTTGTTTGGTCAGGTGTGAACAGAGTCAAACCAAGAACTGTACAGATTGAGACAAATACAACACACACACTAACTCAACAGTAAGCTCACGCGATGATTTTCATGCTGTCGTGTGTTCTTTAGAAGTGAATCCCCATAAACCCTGCTTAACCGAACAGCGCTGACTAAAATCAACCAAACAATCTTGCCGTGTTTTGTTTGGTTTGGATATGTTGAGAAAGCAATAAAACTTGGATTCGATCCTGCTGTCGAACGGTTGAGTCATGCTGATACCAAACAACATGCCGCGCTGATGCAACTCCAGCTAATAAATAGGTGAAAATGTTAATTCATTCATCACGTCTTCAGTATAAGCATGTTAGCATGCCGTCTAATTCTTGCACACATCACTTGGGGGAGTTTTACATGTTTTTTTAACATCACAGAGCCACCAAAGATGACAACTTTTTTCTGTTTCTTTTTGTCTTGTTTCCATATATTGTATAATTTGTATAAATAAATGACATTCATGTATTTAACGGTCAACCCAAGACACCAGCCATAAATATTTTTTATTTAGCAAACTTCAAACAATCATGTGATCAACCTGTTATCTTGCTAGTTAGTGCGGGATACGTGGGAAGTCTGCTATCCTGTTTTATGGGTTTGGTCATGTGATCAGTGGGCAAATTAATCACTCATAATTTGAGTAAATCTTGCAGTGTTTCGCTGACAGGGTAGGGGATAGTGTTGGAGGTGCACATCCCTGATCGTAGCATTGTAACATTTCCTAAAAATGAAAGTCTGTCAAAAATATTGAATCCGGTTGGAATTTTGTAGATTAGATGATGGCTTCTGATAATGTTTAGGCCACTATAGAAGGTGTTTCTGGCCCTGACCATTCACCACTGGGTATATCTGATTGTTGGGGTAACACTGCAGTCTAATGGGCAGCTATGCAATACATATTAGATTATGATCCATATTTGGAAGCTTGGATTCCATTCCAGAGATATCGGATTCCATGCATTTTTCTCTTTTTGCTGCGGTTACATAAAATATGATTCGGTAATTTAGTCGCAAAAAAATATACATCTATGTTTTGTCTTCCAACACTTGAACCATGCAGTGTAAATCCAGCCTTAATTGTCCTTAGTCCTCTCATTGCACAAACACACAGCAGTGCATTTGGATGACTACGGTATATCTGCGGCCATTGCTGTTGTCAGCTCCCCTTTGATGGCTCTATACGCTGCCTAATGAGGCTCATCGCCATCTCTCGAAAACCAGCAAAGTAGGTGGGAAGTGTTGATTGCGCCTCCTCCAAACGACCTGATCGGTCATTCACGGTATTTTTTTCCGCTTTTTTTTTTTTTTTTTAAATACCAGTTGCGTTCATTCAGCTGAAGGGCATGTCAGTGTCAGTCCGTGTGGGGACAACAACAAGAAAACGCATGGATCTTGATTTTGACATTCAAATTCCGACAGTCAAATGTCTCTTGACATCCCACAGCACATTACAGATTTAAATGAAACATAATGACGCCATTAGAATTGTGCTCTTCCCGCAATGTCTACTCTCTACAGTCGAACACCATCTGGCTAAATCAATACGGGCAGGAGATGCGGTGCCATACGTATTGAGGACAGCCAGTCCTTGTTTAAGAGGAGGCACCGATTATCGCTGGCAATGACACATACAATTTATTGTCATGGCTAGTTGAGATTTAGTCCCCTTATTATTGTACAAAAATGCTGTGAGTTGCACAGGGCCGTATTACACACACTAGAAACTTAAATATGAATTATGCAAGGGTTCCATTGTAAAAGTCCTTTCATATGTTCAAAGGAAAGCTTCACTGGACTCCGCGATGAATGTTTAATTGTTGACGTCAATCCTCACCTCACTGGTGAGCTATTTTTTCAAACAGGCCTGTGGCACTATGTTGGTGACCATTGTTATGAATGTTGAATATTGTGTGTGTGTGTGTGTGTGTGTGTGTGTGTGTGTGTGTTCATATACTGTATGTATATATATATATATATATATATATATATAAAACTACACACATTTAATTTAACTCCCATGTATTTTTGTCAGGAATTATGTGTTAATCCGTTAAAATAAGTCAAACTGTACAATAGTTAAATAAAAACATGAAAAGAAATGGTTTTGTCAGAGAATGTTGTATTGTTCTTTTTTTTAAATTTTGTACTTAGTGGCAGTTAGGTTTTTTTTTTTTTTTTTTTTTTTTTTTTTGCAAGCATGGGGCCAAGGTTATATAATATGAAATTAGTTGTTTTCCCAAAGGGCAGAGCGGCCTACTTTAATAGCATGGATGGTGACATTGTATTGCGGTATCTGCAAACAGTACTAGTGGGTTATCAAACAGAACGGGTCATCCAGACCTTGTAAATATCTGGATCTTATAGTCGAAACCATCCGCAAAGGGAGGTTATCGTCCTGTGCGCTTATTTCTAAGAGTTTAGAGCACTAGGAGGCCAGAGACAATTTGCTCTTCAGCTCTCATAATTTTGTCAACTAAAAAGATACCATAGACGCTATTGCCTCTTTAACAAAAGAACTGAACTTTGGTATCGTCCTGATCATTTGGACCCCATATTGGACAAGCACAAACTGAACACGGTGGTTGCATTCGAATTCTGTACAATATTTTATCAGAACTCGGTGACTTGAATCCGAGTGAAAAATGTATTTTGTCATTCCACTTTGATGAGCATCAAAGGCTTTGGGACACAGAACAGGAACTTTCCTCCAGAGATGGTTGTTCAAATATTGACATGGTCTTAAACCAATAAATCAGGACGTTTGACGAGTTATTTCTAAACTGGTGACATTTTCGGCATTCCTGACATTGCCTTTTATCACAGTGGCGAAAATGTGTTCATTCTTTTCTTTACAACGAAAAGGAGGGACCTCTTCCATTTGGAATGTTCCTTGTCTCGCTCGCTCTCTGCAAGGCAAATACAAAAAGGGCCCATTTTTCAAATCTCTGTTCATGAAACATCAAATACATCATTGTGGTGGTTTGATGCTCACTTGGTATTATCCACGGCTCTACATTGTTGTGTTTCTGGCGTAGTATTGGAATTCCTGAAGACTGCCGCGTGGCAGAGGAACTGGGATAGACTGGCGGTAGACTGTATACTGATGAAAACACAGAGGAAATGACACATCGGAGTAAATACTTGAGTTTAACACGGGATAAGCATGTTGAAGCTTTGTTGGAGTACGCACCTCTGGGAATTGAATCCTCACATCGATGCTGTCTGCCGAGGCAGCAACAAATGAAGCAGAAAGTTCCTGGGTTGGATTTCTCTCGTACTGCTGGTTGAAGCCAAGAAGGAAAGCCATGCCTGGGATATAGGTCTTAATACTGGGAAGGGTAGAGAGCACCTCTTACTAACCAGTCAGTTTGAGAAATGTGTGTTTTTGTTTTTTGTTTGTTTTTAGAGAAACAACATGGAGTGAGTCGAAAGTCACATTCTCTTGTGTTCTCACCCTGTGCAAAACTCTGCCATGGTTTCTGGGATTCTGGTCCATTGGACTTTGGCCCTTAGCGTTGGTTTGGAACCAGGCAGACGCGCAGTATTGGCTTTCAGTAACATTTCAAAGGACTGACATTCAGCTCCCCATCTAAGGTGTGCCTGGACCAAACACAGGACATGCGCCAAGTTTGACACATGACACTTGGCTGTGGCGCCACAGTGTCAAAATGCCAAATACAAAAATGAAACACATTCTGGCAACTTCAACCCCTGTGCAGTCTTGATTCCTAATTTGAAAATGGTGCTGCTGACTATTAATCATGTTCACGTCCGGTATCCATCTCATGTATCGGTATTCGGTATCCCTATGGAACAATCAAAAGCAATTTTAATAATTACATATTACGCAAGAACTAGCATTGAAAGTCAAACATTTATACATATTTTTTTACTATTTTCCTGCATTGCATGCACAGAACATGCAAAATAACGTTAATACGTTAATATGATTGCATAAATTTTTATGTGATATGTTAGATTTCATCATAAGATGGGTACTTGTCCAACTCAGTTTTTGTATCCATGGGATCGAAGAATTCTACAGGCACTAGCATATTTTTAAGAATACATTCCTGCATGCATGATAAGACTCAGTCATAGTGTGAATGGGACTGTGAATGGTTGTGTCAGCTCCACACAACCCTGAACAGAATCAGTGATATTAGAAATGGATGGACGGATGAAAGTAGGAAATGTGTGTGTGTGTGTTTGAGGTCTACCTGTGCTTCCGCACGGCCATCCAGCACAGATTCCATACACATTTTCCAGTTGGTATTGTCTCCCACTTGGGACACAATGAGTTGGGTGTTCCTAAGGTTGCTCATGGGTGTGTAGTACACAACTGTTTCGTAACCTTCAGGCTTATGATTCCCGTTGACTGCAAGAGCTCTGATGTTGAAAATAGCTTCAGGTGTTGAGTTGAAGACCTGTGGAACCAAAAAAAAAGTTTTGTTGTTGTTGTTGTTGTTTATCCAAATCATGACAATAATGTATACAGTGTGCGGCTAATTGTGGAATTCCACAAGATGGGAGTTGGAGGTATCATGGAAAATGAGCCAAGACAAATTTGACAAACTCATTTAAATTCCTTATCATGTATCATGACCATGCCAGAAGGGCTCAGTTAAAGTTTCGTATCACTTGAGGCTGAATCAGAGTACAATAAAAAAAAAAAAAAAAAACAAGCAGGGCAATAATTTTAATGCCCAAAATAGAGTGTAATAAAGTTGCTCTGATAGCTCGACACCTTTGGGGGGCTCCTTGGAGTTACAAGGAGTTCTTGGGTGCTGGTAGGGTCTTGACTTGGACCAGCATTGACTTCAATTTGAATCTTGTCAACAGCTTTGTTTGCCTGGACTTGAAAACGAGGACAATTGTGTTAGATGCATTGGACTATCGTTTTTAGCACAGCATGATGTCATTTTTCTGAGTTGTGAAGCTTACGTGGAACTGCTTTAAATGCCACATTAGTGTATCCCAGGAGGTAATACAACGGGTACTCCTCATGGTAATACGCTCGTCTCAGTTCAGATTCAATGCAGAAAACTGCTCCATAAATATTATTCTCGGTGCACCATTTGTCCCTTGGATGCCAGTTGTTGGGCTTCTGCATCTGTAAAAGTAGAACAGACTTTGACTTCTATGGGTTTCAGTTGTAATTAATTCTACCAAAGGAGTTGATTATACGGCACCTGTTCTTCAGTTTCAAGCTTGAGCACTGTCGGATCCTTGTGGACAATTTCACTGTTAGAATCGATAGCTCTGGGCATCATGGGGGTCATTTTCGGCAAAGTTGGCAGTTCAATGTTCCTCGAGACTGCATATACCTCAGAACTAGTGGTTGGGAAAAAGAACAAGACAAATGTTCATTCTGTATTTATAGTTGGTTCTCCCTTTCCCCAATGATTTATTATCCTGTTAGCTTAGGGAGGCCACACACATCCAGACAACATTGGTGATGGGAGTTACCGTGAGGATCACTCAGCAAAAATATTCTTCATTTGATGCCAATTCTGGCTTTTACACACAGCATACTTGAATTTCTCCTCAAACGTTTGAAAGATAATAAAAACAGGCTTGATTCAGCCAAACCATTACCAACCAACAGCTGTGGCATGGCGTTAGTGCCAAAGGCTGTGAGCAACTCAACCCATACACACACACCTTGGCCTGTTGAAAAGCCACCAAGCAAACAATTAATCAGTGAGGTACCACAAATTGCTGCCTACGAGTTATTTAGCTGATTAGCTTGTTGATGCCACTTTGGAACAGCTCGATGGTGTTGTGGTCATTGTTCCCCAAAGTCCCTGTGAAACATTTTCTGTTTACAGTTGGAGCAAAATATATTTGTTAGTGAATGTCTATGGTGTAATGAAGGCTGGTCAAGCTGTTTTCTCTCTTACAGAGTTGTTTTCCATTGGCGGATTTGGCCATGGAGCCCCGAATATCACTGCTCGTGGGTCTCAAACCATACCTGACTGTGATGAGTTCAACTTCCTTTTTGCTCGAAGGAATGTCGAGTTCAAATTTCCTTTCTTTGATGTTAAGCTTGGCGGATAGCTTCCACGGGATGGAATATGGTATTTTGCTCTTAAATTCAACACCACTGTGGAACAGCTCTGTGTTGATACCATAGGACATCCAAATATCCTTTGTGCAACTGTAAAAAAAAAAAAGTTGAATTCAAGAGATGAAGTGGTATGAATAATTTGATGGCCAGTGTTGACCGTGTTATTTACCCAACAAAGCCATCAGTCTCCAGTGAAATATCTGAGGTCAAGAGTTGTCCAAGGTGGTCCGTCAGTGGCGGATTTATTGCAGCTTTAGCTAAAAACAACAACAACAACAAGGTCAACATGTAGCTTTAAATTGAATCCAAAGGTTTTCATGAAGTAGGGGTAAAAAAAGACTCACCATTCACAGTGATGCCACTAAGTGTCTGATAATATTTGCTGATCTCCAGCGGTAGGCCGAGAGTGGTTGCTTGGAAGTATCGAGTCTCAAAAATTAAGAAGGCCTTTGTTCGATGCCATGAAATTCCCTTCTGTAAATTCTCAATGACCGTCCACACAGGGCTGCCTTTGCCTGCAGAAGGACTGGCAATCTGTAAATACAAATTAATTAGTTAGTACAAACTACAAAGCGATTATTTTTTGCTCTGTATAATGTGCTTTATGCTCTCACATTAATGATATTGCGAATAAATTCTCTGTTGATATCTGCAAAGAACCACTCTTGTCCAGAAGCGCGAGAATAAACATGGAGAAGAGGTTTGTCACTGGCATGAGTTTCCAAGTTCCGAAGCTGGAAAGATCACATAATATTTGTCAGAGATGCGATTCATCTTGATATTTCAATTAAGAATCAAAACAATGCGCCAACCTGCCGGTAAATGGCCTGGAAGTCATTCAATTCTCCTTTGAATTCAGAGACGATAGAGCCAAGAAATTCCTTCATTCCGTCAACACGAACGCCAATCTTGAAAACACCAACATCTCGTTTTCATTCATGATATGGGAAGTTTGGCTTCAGTATTTGAATGCATTTCAATATACTATACCTCCAAAAGCTGCAGAATTCTACCGATGGCATACAATTTTCCTTTCATCATGATTTCAGTGGGGATGATTTCTGTTGCATTTCTTAGCATGAAGAACTCTGCAGCTGTGCCAAGCAATAAATCATCTACAGTGGGAAAATAGACACGTCAGAAAGTGTCTTCAAAGCAAATACAAGTACCTGTATTTGAACCTACCACTAAACCAGTCCACGCGCATTGCCTTGCTGAAGCGATAGGTGAGGCGACCAAATTTGGGGGCCAGGATTTTCACTGCTACGTTACAGGCAGTGGACCTGATGCAGGCACCGCAAAGAAAGAAAGAAGAAAAAAAAAATGTAAAGTGCTGAACAGTATCGCTAACTCATGCCCTTGATTTTTAAACAGAATACCCACAGGAATACATTGTCGGGAGTTCTGGATCTGGCCATACTTCTCAAATATGAGTAAGTAAAACTGATGACATGAAGGTCTTTCTCATCCTGCAGATGTGCAGTCACAGTGGACACCAGCGCCATCGGTGGCTTTGTGTCAAATAAGATCATCAAGGCCAACATGCGCAACTCAGCCGGAAGGTCTTTTTGCAGGTAAAGAGTCATGGTGATGTCTCGGACCTGGAAAGTCGAATATTATCATGATAATGAATTTTCAGAGTCAGACTACGGGTAACAAAAGTAACAACATCTGATATCATTACCCTCCATGTTTTGAGTTCTTACACTGTGTGGGTCTCGTGCAGCAATGAGTCTCAAGGACTGGACAGCAGCACTCTTCACACGAGGAGGGAGATCAACTGGATTGGCAGACACTCCGGGGAGGAAACGCATGATGGTTTTAATGCTGCCTGGATGACCCGCGTTGCCCAGAGCTTTCAGAGCCAAAACCATGTCTTTCTCATTGTTATTCTTCAGACTGTCCATGGCAAAGTTCAGCAGCGGCTAGGTGAAGGAATGAAATTGTTGTCAAAGTCAATCTCATCATAGTTTGACGTTTTCATATAATGTATCGTTTTTAAGTGCAGAACTTTAATGACGACACGGCAAAATGTCTTCGATATAATACCACGTTGTGCTGCAGCATACTAAAATGCAGCATATTTGGGAAAAGAGAAGAAGTAGTCAAGAAGGTGTCCTACTAAGCCCACAGGCCAGAAAGTAGAAATGCTTGAGAGTAAGATTTGGTTTAACATTTTGTTGTTAAAATATATAATTATTAATTCACTTTTGCTGTGAATCGAATGTGAGGCTGCTCCGCATGCGTTAAAGTAGCAATTGTTCGACGGCTTATAATTACCATCATTTTTGTAAGCCAATCGAGGCATTTCGCATTATGCGACACATTCGTATTATGCTAGCTGCCTTTGGTTATTATCTGGTTTGTGTTGAACATTTTGGTGTTTAAATATGCAAAGGTTAATTCTCTTTTTGTTGAAGTAAACTTCAACTGGCTGTGACACATAAAGAGATTGAAGCAAGCATGCGCTGTCCATTATTTGGACAACTATGGCCATTGCTTGTCACCAGGAGAATGAGAACAGGTGCTAAAAGAATACTTTAAAAGTGTATTATAATAAATCAAATGTTGTTTATGTTGAGGGAGCCCTAAAACTGGAATAAAACTTTTTTTTTCCCTCCCCACATGGGCTCTTTTTCAGGCTTGTGTGTCTGGAAGTGTTTCCTCCTGATAAGTAGGAGTTCTTTGTAAATTTAAGAGGGCACGGATTGGAAAAAACGGGTTGAAAAGAAAAGATAGCCCAAGTAAATTATTGGACTGTATGACTTCATAATCCATGTATTTTTTTTTTCGAGACTTTTGAAATGTAATGTAATTGCATTTATCATATTAACGCTTAATAATATTGTTTTGCTACCGTACTTGACGGGGCGGAATCACGTCTCATCCTAAATATATTCCTCGCCACATAAAGAGCTAGCCGAACAAATTATAATCCGAACAAAGCTCTTAATAGAAGAGCGGTTTGAAAATTTGCCTGTCTGGAAGTGGACTTGGAGTCGGGTGGGGTGACCTCATCAAAACTAGATAACAATTTCAAGTAGTAGTGAAAGATTCTCCCAAATTCAAATGCAATGCATGCATGATTCTTTCTTTTCTTTACCTGAACAGCAGACACTGGACAAGGTGTGTAGTAGGTGCAGTGCTTGTACACCAGTGAGCCATAAGAAAGTGCCACAGTTTGCCATATAAAGACGTTAGATCGACTGTAGGGCAGGCACAGGAACCCCTGAGGAGAAAAGGCAGCAATGTAATCATGGAACACAAGGGTCATCTTTGTTCAAACAGCTTTTTGGCACTTTTTTTTTTTCCCCATCCTCACTTTAGCCATCTCAACCAGTTCAGGAAGAGGCTCAAGGTGTTCGAAGGCCAATAAGAGCGTTTGGAAGGCCTCGGAAACAGTTATGTCTCCTTTCTGGAACCTCATCTGGAGGAACTTAAGGATTCTGGCATCGTTGACTTCCACAACCGTGTCCAAAAACCACCGTCTAATGAGGGCAAAGTCAGAGGAAATTGATTAAGCGCTTCTAATCTTTCACGTCAAAGATTATCCTTCAACTAATTAAATTAAATCGTGTTGTAGAAATGAAGGTCAGGGGTGGCTTTTAATAAAATATTAAGTGTCAATGGTTTCCTTCGTTTTAATGGAGAGCTGCTTTTTACATTAACCTTTCTTTAATCAAACCGACATGACAATGCATCTTTAATCAGATAAAGTGTCAGACTGAAGACGTTTTAAACTGAATGAGGATTAAATATTCAGTCATTACTCATTCTGTTCAAGTGGATCTGATTTTGACATCATGTTCACTGTGAAAACATGCTGGCCAATCAGCCGACTTGTTATTTTGATGTGGCAACACAAATCTTTAACAAGATGCAATTTGCAGGGTCAGTCCGTTTCTTTCTTACAACACAGAGAACAACAACAACAAAACCCCTTTGATTCCATTCACTTATTTCAGACAAATGTGTCAAAATGTGTTGAACTAACAAATATCACTTGAATATTCTCGAGGAAAAAGAGTAGACAATTCTGTCAATTGACCACATTTTAATCCTGTACAACCAACCGAAAGTTTCAGATACTCCACCTGTACTCGTCATGTGCCGCAAACTGCTTCCACATCACTTCTAATCCTTCGTATGGCACCAATCGCAGTAGTTGATACAATTTCATCACATCCTCAGTTGTGGCACTCTCAATTTGGTAGCTATTGACCTGAGCCAAATGCTTGATCAACTCAACAGCCTGCGGATGGGGAGAAACATTTCATTATGTCGGTCCATACTCGGTGTGTATCGCGTTTGATTTTCATGGAACGATAGCATGAAATGAAACGTGAAAGCAAATGCAATGCTTCACTTAGTGTTTCTACACGGATGATTTCTATTCCCGCTGTATTTGCATTCGATTGAATTACCTTTGATACCGCATCATCCAAGCTCTGCATGACGATGGGAAGATGTGGTCCTACTTCAACGAACTTGTAAACAATGTTGCCTCTATTTTCCATTGGCCCATATGTGCCGGTAACAGGAGAAGGTGTGTCTCTCACATCGAGCAGCAGTAATTCCTTCCTGCAGGATGGATGCAGGTCAGCATGGTCGAGCGAGGTTCACTGTGAGCGGAATTTAAGATGGAGTCATGTCTTACGTTGCTTTCATCTTGAAGCTTCCGCCCTTCACGTTGAAAGGACTGAAGTGTTGTTGTTCCAATCCATGAGCCCTGGAAATGAGGCCACCCTCAAGTGTTGGTTTGATTGTGTAAACGTATCGCATGGTTGAAACGATAGAATCCCCTCTCTGCAATGGACGACACATATTAGTTGTTGTCATGGTTATACGAGCAAACGATAGAATCCCCTCTCTGCAATGGACGACACATCATATTAGTTGTTGTCATGGTTACACGAGCGTGTTCCTTACAAACATTTTGCAGTAACGTAAAGAAAGGAAATGGAAATTAGAAACGTTACATATTTGGCTGGCAGTTTTATGGGTTCATTTTTCTACACACCTAAGTTACCAAATGTGATTCCTTTCCGAACATTTTTTTTTCTCAATTATGTCACAGACCTTTTTGGAAATATCGTCAAGCACTGCGGTTGCCATTCCTCTGTAGCGTTCTGCCTTCTCCCTGCAGTTCGTGACATCCACAACCTGAGTGACGGTCACGTCCCCCGTCTCCTTGTTTTCTTCAATGGCATAGTTACTCGGACACCTGCCGTGTATGCCAATCTAAAAATAAAATTGTGATTTTTTTTTTTTTCTCAACACTCCATGTGACATCAATGACAGAAGAGATCGTGTATTCTCACCTCCTCGAGTTCGTAGAATCTCTGTGTCGTCTTGACAGTCAGGTCGAAGAAGCTGAGTATGCCTCTAACGATGTTGACAACGGTGTCAGATACCTCAGCTGAGGCGAAGATGCTGCCCACATGCCCACTGGCAAACTCAAACGTGAAGGGCTTGATGAGCTGGGCCGAGATGCGCTGAGTGAGTTTAGGGGCAGCAATGAAGCTGTTCTTCCCCGGGAAGCCATTAAACTCCTCGAAGGCCAAATCTGAAATCTTCAATCCAGAGTAGACCGTGTTACCATAAAACTAGTGACGGCTTTAAGTTAATTGGAACGTCACGAAAATTACTCTTTAAAAAAAAAAAAAAACAGTTTAGATAGATAGATGTCTATGGATTGCAGTCAATCGACATTGAGTAACAAAACTAATCCATAACAGCGGGGGACCAACCACCTAAGACCACAAAACTACCGCACTCCGTCATAGTGACTGATGTGCCTTCATAAAAGCAGTGCACAAAACACATCCCATATGATTCAATATACAACTTACCACTTGGAAAATAGGTCCATCTACATTTCATTTCTATCATACGTAAAGCCCTGCACATATCCGACACCCTCAAGGAAAAAGATTAAAATAATTATGCAATAAAGAATAGGTCATAAAATACCTATCTTTAAATAAATGAAAAACAACACAAAGTAATAAAATCTTGAACTAAATAACGTGGGCACGTTAGAACGACCTCATTTTCTCGCCGCTTTGACCCAATTAAAAAAAAAAATCCTTACTTACTTGAACTAAAAATGTTTCAAAATCGTTTTTGTCGCAGGTACGTAAATTCAGAACTTTTTATTTTTGTTGTTTTTCACGTCCCTGCTTACCTGAAGGAGGAAGGTCTGCGCAGAGACGCCGACAATTTTGAGCTTGCATGTTAGTTTGACCGCCGATTCCGCCCGGTTTGGCATGCCCAGTCCAAAATTGGCCAATCCCTCATATCTATATTCATAGGTTTTCTTCGGGTTTAGGCTGAACTCTGTTTTCAAAAGTATAAATTGTAACACATTGAAACACAATATGAGAAGAAAATGCATTCACTCCCATGGCGTATGTTGATATACTCACCATAGCGGACACTTTGACATGCTACAAAGAATACAATAATAAGACACTGTTAGCAAGATGACTCAACTGGGAAGCATCGTGAATTAAAAAAAGATATATTTCAAAGTTCCTTATTATTATTATTATTTTTAATTAAAACCACTTACTGGCCAAGGCCACAAGGCAGCAGAATATGAGCCCTCTCATGGTCAATGTGGGTGCAAGCAAACATCTCACATCACTCCCTTAAATAGCAGCCTGTGTTTGATTACAGAACCTGGTTGCGTTGACCCTTGTGGGAAGGTCACAAGTAGTTTTTTGGCAGTCAACATGAACGTAAAGTCAACACTGACTTTCTGCAGCACACTGACATTGTCAGAATGACATGACAAAGACAGATAATCATCAACAGCAGCAGTGGGTGGAAGATAACTTAAGGCAACAGACAGTACTAACCAGCTTGCATACTGATATTATTTCGTATGTTGAGTATAATAGTAGTTTGCAGTGGTGCAAAACTGCATTTCACATTAGTGAGAGGCGTGTCCAAAATTGTGATATTTTTTTACACACCGCCATGTCTTCTACTTTCAGTCAAATTTGTCACAAATAGTCACAAAGGTCGCATTTGGCTTTCGGGTAAAAATTCAGAATGACAATAAAATGTGCAGTATAACCTTTACAGGTGAACTTAATTTGACCTTTTCTACATTTTTGAACGCTCATGTATGATTCTTTAATGTTTCAAGACTTTGTGCAAGTTGCTGAAATAAAATATCCTTGAGATGCCAGGTAGTGTGATGTAAAAAACGAGACCAAGATAAAACTTTTCAAAACGTCTTCCACATTTAGTCACATCTTCAACCTGTACAAGTCAAATGATAACATTGCAATCGGAAAGGGGGAATATAAACAGTCAAAAAATGCAGCACTTTTGGCTTTTAGGGTAGGAATCGAGTAGTGTTGCACATTTTGATTTGGCAATATTTGCCCACTCTTCTTTACAAAAACATTCCAAATGTGTTCGATGGCACACATGCACACACACGCACACACACGCACACACGCACGCACGCACGCACGCACACGCACACACACAGACTTTTTATATTTTGCCAAAGAGTGCATCCACGACCCTGGTGGAAATCCTGTAAATTGCAATGGAGCGATCGTCATATAGTATTAACAGTTATATTTTATTACCTTGCTCGCCGCTCAAATGATATCAATTATATCCTTATTAAGAAATAGTAGTATGCTCATACTGTGGTGTAAAACCTCAATAAAAAATAACTAAACCAAGTATTTTAAGGAAAAAAAAGTGTAGAACGTTTAGAACAGGGGTGTCAAACTCATTTCACATGGTGGGCCACATACGGCCTCGGTAAATTTACTTTTATAATTCACATATATGCATTGCAACTGATCCCACTGATTGTACAAATTTTAACAAGTAATTGGTATTGAAAAATATAGTAATGCACTTTAAGATTAAACGAGATTCATAAAGAAAGGAAGTTTTAAACCATTTACACGTGCATATAAAATCTAAATGTAATCTTACAAACTAAGGAGAGTGCTATTAAATGTGTAAATGTGAGAGTGCTATTGATAGCGTCTGCTGTCATGGGTCTGTCACAGTGACGGACTGAGGCTGCTGTTGTCTTCTTCTCTGATCAAAACAGTGTCCCCTTGCGGATACTCAATGAATTGCACCTTATTAAAAATATTAATTCTGTCTTTAATGCATTTTTTTCACTTTTAAATTATCCTGCGGGCCTAATTGAACCTCCTTGCGGGCCGGTTACGGCCCGCGGGCCGTATGTTGGACACCGTGCTTTACATAATCATCTCGCGGGCCGGATTAAACTCCTTTGCGGGCCGGATCCGGCCCGCGGGCCGTATGTTTGACACCGCTGGTTTAGAACTTTAGGTGCAGCTCATAAAGACACAATGTTGGTTAAGGTTTGTTTTTTTTTTTCTCTCTCAAAAGTCTAAAGTGTTCATAAGATGGTTTGTGTAAACCATAACTATCCCCCCCCCATTTATGATTTATTGAATTTATAATTGACCATCACACCATAGCAACTCTAGAAGTAGTCTTGATTTTCTGATCCAATACAATTACATCTTTATTTATACAGTAAAAGAACAAAGTATAACACAACACTTAACATAAAACATGGACAGTCATACAATCGTACCAACTATTTCTGCAAACGCCTTGTTGGAAGCAGTTGCAGTTGAAAGAGGAGAGAATCAAAGTCTCCTTTCACCAGTGAAGAGAGACGTCAGAGACGTCCTGCTCAAATGAGGACGATGGTGTTTTTCTGTGCAAGATAGTGACTCTATCCCACATATTGCATTCTTTGTAACTGAAACGCAAATGTAACTTGAGTTCAAAAGAAATATCCATAAACGTGGCAGTCCGTAAACATGGTGACTTTCTGTCATTACTTTCCAGTGCAGTGAGTTACTCAGTACAATGCTGCCATCTAGTGGCATGAAGTCAATTCAGGTAAAGCCTATTGTATCACGTTCACATATTTCCAAGTAACTGTAAATGGTCACGGACTATATAACCCTTTTGTACATGATCATAAATTAATACGACATTGTTCTACTAATAATTGATTATCGTGTCATTTATTGAGATAGTTTTGAGCCCCGGTGCTTCAAAGCACCTTAAAGCTCAAGAATACAAAACAAAGAACATTTACTCACTCTTCACTTTACATTGTAGAACAGCATGACGTTTGTATGAGTCCCTAATGGATAAAGGAAGACAAAATCGACGGGAAACATGATTTGACACACACACAGACACCAATTAATTACTGGCACATTGATATTATTATCAACAAGATTATTTATTTGCCGAGAACAAAAACAACAACCAACCAAACAAAACCTTGCTGACAGAAATGTTTGCCGAGCTCATGAAGCTGCGTAGCTTGGACCACTAGATGGCGCCATTGTTCATTATTTCCCCAGGAAGCGCATAAAAGAAGCTGGGTATGCCAGTACTGAAAAAAAAAAAAAATGGATAAACGACACAGGGTTTGTTTGATAGATTTATTTTTATTATTAATTTAACATTTAGTCACAAGAGTGGGTCAAGTGCGAGACCATTCTGTTCTTTAAAGTATGACAGGCATTAAATTAAAACAAAATAAAAAGGTAAAGGTGGATTGCAGGGTTACTCTCAGAAGAACTGGTTTTATGAATGGACATTGTTTATTGCATGCATTGAAACACAAAATAACAAAATATACACCACAATGTATGGAATGAGAGATTTTTAAAAGACTTCACATTCACTTAACATCTGTTTATAGTATAGTTTGGAATGTTGTTCAAGTTAATCTGGTGCTTGCATTCATTTAATGAATTCATCTCAGGCATTCAAAACAGCATGCCACATTTTTAAAAAGCCTGTAGTACTCCTCTTGAATCTGAAAACAACAACAACAATGACACAATCATCACTCCTATTTCTGATACAAAAGAGGAGAAAAATATACAAATCTTTTGGAAATTATACAGTCACGTGCAAAAATATCCAGCAGTATTTTACTAGAATGTATTTCCATCATAGTCCAGGAAAATTGTTCACCTATGCGTGACTGTATTTTTTAGTAATAGTTTAATAACCTTCTACAATTCATTTATTAGCCTTTCTCTCTAAACTAAATAGATGGTGGAATTGTTTTCACTCAGCAGTAATGCTGCTATTATTTCATATTATTTCTTATTTCAGTTTTACTGTAATGCAGCTGCGGTAAAAAAGGACATCAAAAGGAAGGAAATAGTGGTGGCTTAATATTTTGCATAATAATGTATCCTATGCTGTCCTCCCTATCCATCCATCCATTTTATAATCCACTTCCCATCACGAGCGTTGCGCGTATGCTGGAGCCTATCCCAGCTGTCTTCGGGCGGTAGGCGGGGATACCCCGAACTGGTTGCCAGCCACCGCAAGGCACACATAGACGAACAACCATCCACGCTGACACTCATACTTAGGGACAATTTAGACTGTTCCATTAAGCTTTCATGCATGTTTTTGGAATTTGGGAGGAAACTGGAGTCCCGGGAGAAAACCCATGCAGGCACAAGGAGAACGTGCAAACTCTTCACAGGAAAGCCGCAGCTGGAATCGAACCCTGCACCTCTGCACTGTGAAGGGGACGTACTAACCAGTCGACACCCTGCCGTGCTCCCTAAAGTTGATGTTACTCACTGTATTATTATTATTAGTAGTAGTAGTAGTAGTAGTAGTAATAGTATCTTTTGGGTCTGGAAAAAGTATAGTGCATTCTATGAGTGTATTCTATTGGGAAATGAGAACAACTTGGCAAAATATTTTCAGAAGATATTTTCATTTCACAAAAATCTATATGTTCAAAATTAATGAATGCATCACCAGTAATATTCCAAACTGACGTTTGATTTCAGTGCTCTCTGATAGCCATCAAACTCCTTTAAAATGGTGCAAAAGAAAAAAAGATGTTCTAAAAATTGACACATAAGCTGAAGGGTATAAATAATATTTTAAACAATTTAAAAATAAATAAATACACGAATAAATATCAATAAAGATGGTGAAAAGACTTTGGCTCGGTATGCCAAAATTTGTATATCCCAGCTTGTGGGCCATTTTGGCGGGGAATGGGGTAAAGGAGCTTGGGTTGAATTTCTGCTTATGGGCCCTATTGTGGTAGACTAGCTCCCGTGCAGTCGAGGTAAAAACAGGTGTAACTTCATTTTCATGCAGGCGCACGGTCTCATCGAGCATGTTTGGGGTCGTGTTGCGTCTCTCTGGATATTCTTGCATAAGGGGTTGCCTCGGCCCCGACTCGTCCGACAATTTGATAACAGAAAGCATTCTGTGTTCTGCATAAAAAATGTGCACATTGTCATTTCTGTGCCAGGGCAATGGTCTAGTTGAGCATGTATGGGAATTTGATAGTGTTCCTCCCGCGCCCTGCAGCGCATCTCCAAATTTGGTTACAAAAAGTGGAGAAGATTTTAGACTCGCTAGAAGCAGATCTATCTCGTGGTGCAGGTGATGTAACATGATTTTGGTGTATTTGATGGAGGTGCAGGCAGTCAAATTAGGTGCTCGGCCGACGTGTGTGGTTGATGTCATCGGGTTTTAGTCATAAATATGACACCAGCATCGAAAAAAATACTCATATAAAATAAAATAATCATTGTGGAAATCAATTCTTGAAATTATTACAATCATTATCACATTACAAATATTTTAATAGCACCCCTGTCACTATTACTGTGGCTGAGGGGGTATCACACATCTAGACACACAATCGGGGATGCAATTGCCCATGTCATGTGTATGGCCAACTCCATCATCTGCAAGGGGAGATCTTGCAGTTTAGCGGTCACCGTAATGCATGGACCCCAGTGAGTCTATTTTTGTTTCAGCAATGTCAGGCACGGCATACTTGGAAATACGACAGTCGGACCATCCTGATTTTGATGCCAATGAAGAATGTCGCTAGGATTGGCCCGCAAAAGGCTTGAAAGAAAGTTAAAAAAAAAAAAAACTCCACCGATGCCCAGTTGTACTGCTTTTCGTGGCAGACTCGCCCCATGTATTTAAATATGCTTTCATAGTCTGTATGAATCCTTGTGACATTACCTTTCTGGAGAGCACGCAGAGGAAGATGAAGATGAACATGCCCTGGAAGGCGTTGGTGATTGTGAACAGATACGCTGTGAGCGTGTTCTCATAGAGGATGTGCAGCACTCCGAAGGTCCACGTGGCACCCAGCACGAAGAGCAGCGCTATGGCACCACGGGCACATGACCTGACCAGCCACAACCAACACAATTACACTGATCGAAAAAAACACCTGAAATGGACAACACAAGTCTAATCAAGTATTAATAATCCCACCTGATGTTTTCATAGTGGCTTATTTCAGGCTTCTTCACCACCGTGTGTCGGTACACTTTGTAGATGATCACTCCAAAGGCCAGCAGATTCACCTGAGTGGAGATCAAAACAATCACATCACAATTTCTGTCAATTTTTGTCCGTGAGCTTGTGGCTTGTTATTTCTTGTTTTTTTTTTTTTTTAATTTTAGATCGTGAGCGTCCTTGGTACTTGCTCAAATAACTTACTAGAATGATCAAACAGGCAGGTCCAATAAAGCTCCATATGAAGTGGTTCTCTGTGCTCAGCCAACACCTAAAAAAATAAAAGCAAGATGTCCCACTTAGCGACCTTGATTAATTGTATTTTGCCAGCCTTTTATCATTGGTCCTCAGCTTCAATCTCTCCTGATGTGAATCAATAGAGTCTTGTTTGGGTAAGCACCCCCTATGCCCCGAATGCTCGAAGCGGTGCTCTTTTTCAAAATAAGATCTGTTCTGTATAACAAAAGAAACAATAAACAACAGCCATGCATCTATTTTTAATACTGTCTAAATCAGGCTATCGACCGTAACCATCTTCCACTGCCTATGTCCAAACCAGCCATGTATTCAAAATATTCAAATGCTTTAAAAATCAATGGATTTCTTTTCCGAACTAAAGGCATTTCATTTGAGTTTTACTGAAGTCTTTTTTGCATCATCAAATCAAATAATAAAATGTACATACTCACATTTTATCAGTGCCATAATACTTGGAACCGAGAGTGGCTGAGATGGCCACGACCACTGCCGGGCTTCCATAACCGAAAATGTAAAAGTTACGGTGCAGGAAGCCTTTGTTGTAGATGACGCCAACCACTATTAAGTACAGATGGATGCCCTCGATGCACATCCAAGCAAAGGCCGCCAGGAAGAAATAGTGCAGCAGCCCCGCAATAACTGAGCAAAAGAGCTGCCAGGAAACAAAGAAAGAGAAAGAAAGAGAGGGAATGTTTCATTCAAAAGGCCATTTGAATGACCTGAAACATAAAAGTGTTGTTGAATGTTGATTTTCATGTTGGTCCCACACATTCCCTGCACCACGACTAAGTAACCATAAAACTTAAATGATATCGCTATATAACGAGACAATAAAAATGATACATACATTTTTTTAAAGCAATGAAGTGACTTTCGTACGTGGAAAAAAAAATGTGTTTGCCCAGAGAGTTGTACAGGAGACTCAGTTTTGAATGCCGCATTCAACCATGTCTTGAAATACAATAAACAGCACAGCCACATTTATCGGCATCTGCTGTGGTTGACCTAATGTTTTTTTTTTTTCCACGCAGGATTACATTTTGGAAACGCTTTTTATGTTTCTCAAGTTCCAAGTGGGGTTCTGGAATGCTGACATTTCCAGGCAGACAGAAATGCTGCTGCTGCCAATGACATAGTTGTTCTTTTTTTTATTGGCATGCATACAGTTTATACCACGTATCCACACTCGGGTCATGGGTGAGCTGGAGCCCATGTACTGTATAAGGTAAAGACTGATTTTTGCCATGCTTTTCATAAATTAGTCACTTGAAATCTTTGTTTCTCTGTGTGGGTGGGCGGAGACTGTGTGTTGTCATGTGACTGCCTGGCACTGTTTGATTGGAGAAATGAAGTGAAACATGTCACTATAAGTTATGATGGCTTGGTGAAAGAGTCATGTGACACAAATCTCTTTGACAAACCAAATTAGATTGCGCAATTAACAATACATTCATTTAGATACCAATTAAAGTACACAGTGGAATGTAGCTCAATTTAACTCAAGAAAAGAAGCATTTTTTTTCTGTGAAATTAAAACATATGCGGCATAGAAACTAGTCTGACAAGAACAATTTATCCCAAAAGTATGTGAGTCATTGTACTCATTACTACCCCCCTCAGCCCCTGGAGTGTATTCTTCTTTCCTTTAAAAAAAAAAAAAAAAAGAAAAAAAAAGAAAGAAATGTGTAGCATGCATAGAGCTACTTCTTTAATGCTGATTCTGAAGTGACATCAGACATTTTTTTGTGACTTTTTTGGTATATTCTGAGCTCCTCATGTTCAGTTATTCAACTTCTGTGGTTTCACTCTCAACCGAGTCGATGGAAGCGTAAGTCGTTCATTCCCCTGAAAGGACTGCGTGTGCTCGATTCCCACTCAGACTGTGTGAATGTGAGAATGGTCGTCTGTCTCTTTATGTGCAACCTGTGCCTTTTACACAAATTCAGCTGGGGTAGGCTCCTGGTCCACACGCCCCTAAACAGGATCAGTTGTATGGGAAATGGAATGGAAAGATTCTCAAAATAGGGTGCGCGCCATGCTTCCCACAGGGTACATGAGCACTCTCCATAATGTGCGCAAGATTGAGAAATGGTCAGAGATGGGCATTCCCTGGGAGGGAACGGCCCGGACGGACACCAATTTTTGGGACGGAGGACGAGAACTTTTTAAAAAAGGATGGAGGGACAATGACGGAAGGGTACCCTGGTTCGCGGAGGGAGGACAGACCGACAATAAATGAATGAATGAATGAATGAATGAATGAACGAATGAAATAAATAAATAAATAAATAAATATAAACAATAACAGTATTCACCACTACTGTCAGTCACCGTGTGTTCTTCTCCAGCATAAGAACAACAGATGTGCTCCATTATTGAAGCACTTTTTATCTTGTTTCAAAAACGACATTCTATATCTTTCAATAGAACTTGTATTGAATATTGTTAGGGGGTTTGCCATCTTTGTCATGATCCTGCAGGAGGCGTCACATAAAATGTTTGGGAAAGGCTGCGTTAGTGACCACCCGAGTTCTTGTTCATTACCTTGTGTGTGTTCATGTTGATCCCCACCAGGAAGATGAACTCGGCCATGAAGAGACTGCAGCACAGGTTCTTGTGAATGGTAGTCCTGGTGCTCTGGATCTCGCTGAAGAACCAGAAGGTGAAAATGCACATGGACAAACAGATGATGGAGATGATCATCCCCAGCTGGGTGATGCGGGTCAGGATGATTTGGTGGGCGACAAACTGACATATAAAGAGAAATAGACGGTGTGTCATCAAGGTGAAACTGGGAAGAATCATATACTGTGGATATTTTGCTGCGGAGTATTAACCAGCATTCCAGCGCTCCAATTACCAACCTTCCAAACTGATATTTGGACAGTGGACATGGTGTTTTGTAAATTAAAAAAACAAAACAAAACAAAACAATGAACCCTTACATTGGCTCGCCCCGAGGACATGAGGATGGCAAAATGTGTGAGGTGGTTGCAGGTGCACGTGGTCGCATTGCTACTGACGTGCACGATCTCGCAGCCGTGCGTGGCCCAGTGACCCAGCAGGCTGTCAGTTGTGTACTCCCAGAAGGCACATTTGGTCACGTCGGTTTTGAGGTCGACGGGCTTTGCAGGGGAAAAGGAAACAAAAGATCTCGTTAGATGGATATCTGCAATAAATTTAGAACACAAATCTTCTGCCTTACAGTGGAGGGAAAAAAAAAAACATTCATCAAATGTCAATGAAATGCAATTGGAATTTGTGGCATCAATTCAACGATGTTGAAGGTCACTAACTATATGTAAAATTTATGCAGGGTGTTGTGCTGTCATACTTTTTTTTTCATATTTCTTGACTTGGTCATCTTATTAAATCAACTGTCAACATAATAATAACTCAGTAGGTTTTGGGACAGAAATAAATTAACTACGATTAAGTTTCGCAAATGACTAATGAAGTGTTTCATAAATCATGACTCTTATTTTCTGAATTAACTGAACACTACATGAGTCTTTCCATGAAAATTAGATCAGGAGCCTAAAATACCAGTCAATTTTATTTGTGTCGTCAAATGTCTGAAGCAAAGAATGTTAGGAATTGCCAAGCAAGAATACTCATTTTGATTTGGTGTGTTGTGTTTGCTGTTTACTTTATTAATAAAAGTAGATGTGTAGAGCATGTTACCACATTCTACTGCTTCAATTTTGCTCTTCAGGTACAATAGTTTAAATAGTTATTGTCAATGTTAAACAATATGATCGATATTTTATCAATACTTGAATGTGTTTTTACACATTTGACACATGTCGTAGGCCTTTTGTGTAAAAACATTTGTCAATGATTTCCTTTCAATTCTTGTTCTTTCTTTTCTGTGAAGCTTCTTCGTAAGAATCCATCTGTTAATTGCCGCAGCAGCAAATGCAAGTCTCGGAGTAGTTATGATGCTTATTGTTGTTTTGGATCCGGTATTTCAAATTGAATAAAACTCCGCCATTTTTTAGCAAGGTACAACACAAAGATGCTGACTGCAGCAGAATGACCACATATGAAGGGGAACTCCCCACCAAAAAGTTCTGCACCGCAGATTTGCAGCAGAAGCAAATTGAGCGAAAGACAGGTCGCCCATTCATCTTTACCTCAACGTGCCTGAGAGTGAAGATGACATGGTCAAGCTGGTAGACGTCAGCAGGTTTGATGGCCGCTGCCACCACTTGGGAATTGACAGTGATTTCCCCTGTTTCTGCATAGCGCGAGTAGTCTGTGACACCCGGGTCGATGCTCGGCTTCAGGATGTCTCCTATGCTGTCATATCGCACAAACACCACTGACACGCTCTCTGATGGACAAAAAGAGTTGAGCAAACCAATGACGACGGTCAAACCTCATTCTTCGGCTGTCGTTGTTGAGTGACAAGGAGCGTTAAATTTCACAATACGTTGATTTGCAATGTCTCAACATCCAATATCCCAAACATATTTCTTTATTTCATGATTGATGTTGTCCATCTTTTCATCCCCCCATACCCAGCTTTATATTAACATACATGCTGAGATGCACATTTGATTTTTATTATTTCCCCAAGGTTGTGGTTGGTACCCTGTTTCGGATTCATAGTTCCCCATGATCACAGGTAACAACTCTATTTTAGTGACAATTAGAAATTTGTGATTATTGTGATTGCAACACACTTCTTGACATCACAACATCGGGCCAAAATTCCTTCCCTTTTAAGTCACTATATAGTCAAGGGGAAGTATTTTAAATTAATTAATTTAAAAAAGTCAAATTTGAATGATTAAAATATTGATAAGTACATAAAACAGCTTGAAAATAGTGAACGATTTACAGTAAGACATTCTCTGTGCATTGTCCACGAACACAAGTATGCCGAGCCAAAAAAAAAGAATGGATGTGACTTCATCTTTCTTTTACCAACAGATGTTGGAGCTACAAAAACATTTCTAATACATCCCACTGAGTCATTGTGAGGATCTCCATGCTATGACGTTAGCCAACAGCTCGCGCTCAAGCTAACAAGCTTCCGTGGTGTCACCTCCTTGCTTGGGAATTTCAATATTGACACCGAGCCTGGCAAGATCCAAAGTAAAAAAAATGAACAGTGTAATTACAAAATGCCTGGTAGGGTAAATCGTGATCATCTACGGATTCATTACTTTTCTTGTTTTCCTCCCCCTCTAAATGGTTTAGCTATTCTGAAAGTTTGCTTCCAATTTTGAGGGACTAGTGATGGAAAGACCCTTTTTCTACAAAGACATCCTTGGATGAATGTAACATGGAAGATCTGACAGCCTTGACCTAAACTCCATTAAACACAAAAGGAATGAACGAGAGCAGAGATTACGAGTCAAGTACCTTCGACCCCTGCACTAACATTTCAGCATCCAGTGCAGTTGCAGAAGTGTTAGAATAGAATTTGCAAAACTAGCATTTCTGCCATTGACCCGAGATTAGACTCACCATTAGTGCCCTCCTTTGGTCTCATCTTTGGAGTGAGTGTCATGATGTTCCCGCCCATGGTGGATGACAATACGTCTTTTTTGTGATTGGCATCAAAAGTGAACAGGTTCATTTCTAGGGAAGAGGATTGCCAGATGATAATAATGATCAACGCCATTCAAAGTGTCAATGACAGCTTTACCCATTTGCGTGTCTTTAATTTGAAGTTCATTGGGAGTTTGGAGGCTGTGAGCCAAAGCAAGAGCACTTTCTTCAACAGTGTGCAGCAGCTTGGTGACTGTTCGTTCCCGGCGCTCCTCTTCAATCCTGCTCCACGCCACCAGCTCATCCTTCTCTACCAAGTTGTTGACCACTTTTGCTAATTTCTGTTGACAAAGGATTTTTTTTTCCACGTGTTATTCCAACAATAAAACATGTACTTGGCATAAAATTCCTGCAGGATAAGAGGCACCGTGGTCAAAACAGTGAGTGAGAAGAATGAAACGAGCGAGTGAAGATTACTGTGAGAGTTGAGTGGACAACAGCTGGTTTGACAGGCTGATCCTTTCCTCCTCTGGCCAGCAACGACGTGGACCGGCTCAAGGCCTCGACATACGCAATCACTTCCACAGAGGTCAGATCCCCGGACGACTGCTGAGCAATTTCATTCAGTAGGCTTAGGGGCTCAGTCAGGTTACTCATCTAAAATGGCAGTAAAAAAAAGCAACTAATATTCCATTTAGTGAGACAAATCATTTTCAGTGCAGAAAAAAAGAAACAGAAGTACTAAGATAGAAAACGGTGTGGGTTGTTTTTTAATTAAATTGGTTTCCACCAGCTTCACCTTCAGACACACCTTTAAAATCTGATGAGCTCCAACCTAAATCATGTATCATAAACAAAGCTGAGTTTTGTTTGACACTGTCAGAGTAATCACCATTTTTACATTGGTGTTGTTCCGAATTGCTGTAAAATCAATCCAAACTGAAAGATGCTTCTTATATTTAGCCATCTTATGTGGCTAAATAAGGAAATCAAATATAAAACTGAAAACAGTGATAACATAATCCAGTGGTACCTTGAAGTTTGAACACCTCAAGAATTGTACAATTTGAACCAAAAGTTTGAATGAAAATAATGTGCCAAAGTTTAAACAACTAGAGTTTCACAAGTCATTTTAGAAGATGTCAGATCACCTAACTCATAAACTCGCTGCTGAGAATGTGAGTGTTTGTAAAGTCCCAACCATTCTGGACCTGTATGTCTCCAGGACTAGGGTTGTGCAGGTTGGATTACATCTGACCCCACACACCCCGGACACAGCCTGTTTGACCCTCTGCCCTCAAGCAGGAGTCTGCGGTCCATTCAGACAACCTACCACCACATAAACAACTTCTTCCCCTTGGCAATCAGACTCATGAACACGCACGCATGCACGCACACAAAAACGTATCACTTATACTCCACACTTATACACTTGATGGCTATTGCACATTTTACTTTTCTTTTTTCTCAGTCTCAGACTTTATCTTTATTCTTAACCGTTAGGTGTCATGTTGCACCATCGGACCAAAAATATTTCCTAGCTGTGGATGTACCTTTCACTGACAATAAAATTGATTCTTACTCTGATTCTGACTTGAACACATCATTTCAGATTGCATAAAACATTAATGCTGTGTGTCACTTTTGCCTCTTCCTTTGTACTTTTGTGACACTTTTCCTGAAAGGATGATGATGGAGAAGAAGGATATCCACCAGAAGTGAAGTAAGGACATTCACCCTAACCACAAAAACACCCCAAAACAAAACAACCCCCCCCCCTCCAATTACAGACTACTTCAGTGTCATGGTAATAAAAGATGATCAGCAGTCCCAGTTGTAGGTGGATGACTGAGCAGAAGTGTTGTTTGCTAAGTCTATAATTTATGTTTTTGTTCCATTGTTGTAGACTTGATAAGAATCACAGCCTGTATCAAGAACTGTGTCCCTAATTTTGTGGACAGGTGCTTGTGCGCTTGGCATAAAAAAAAATTAAATAAAAAAAAAAAGTGCATAACTTCATTTTAGTGCAGGGGCAAGTGTCATCTCCCATGTTTGGGAGCGCGAAGCGCCTCATCTGAGCGTTCCGGCACATGCCCCTGATGCAATTTGGTCACAGAAAGTAGTCTGTGCTTGGCGTGAAACCGGGTGAATCTTAATTTGTATGCCGCGGCAAGTCTAGTTTTTGCTTTTGAATTTGGTAGAGCGCACTGGGCATCGCTCGGCCTTCCAGCAGACTGAGGTCATATTCTATTACCGCTAATGAGATTGTGCAAGTGTAACTAATCAGGCACATAGTCCAATAGTCCAATCAATACATTGAATCTATTCATTCTTGGTGATAGGCCTTACCAATGAGGTCTCCAAACTTTCAGTCTGGAGAGTCTGTAATTTCTGCAGTGTGACCTGCTTTTGGTCACTTACATCAAAAATATTGTTTCATGATTTCCGGTTCTTTCTTATTACTTTCAATCTAATCAAATTTGTTGAATGCCATAGGATGGGGTACTTACATATTCAAGTGTTTTATTGACAGTCTGTGTGATGCACCCAATGTTGTCATGGCAGTGTTTTTGGGGATGATCTGAAAAATAAAAATGACCAAAAATCAGCTGAACTGAACTCCACTAAAAGCTCCGTGGCCAACAATTTTACCAGTTAGATTTTTTTTTTTGCAACATCCACACTTGCAAAGGGTTTATAACGTGGGTTGCAGGCAACATTTGCAAGTGTGAAAGCGACTGTGTATAAACCTAAGAATGAGAGAATGTGGTGAGTGCGCATGTTTATTCTTCCTTCTCATACTGACCTTTACATCTTGCACCTTGCTCTGGATGAAAATGCTTCGTGCCAGAAGTTGGGATGTAATCACGCTGACAAGTGCAATAGAAAGATCCATTGATATTGTGGCAGTGTGAGTTCGGTCCGCATGCCTGTCCTGCCTCACATTCATCAATGTCTGAATAATGCACACAAAAAGCTTACCTTCAGTTTAAAGCAAACACAATGCGATAAAAGGAAATTCTGCACATAAGACGAAATCACACATCATAAAATCTAAGCGTCGTTACTGATAACTTTATTTCATTGGAAATATCCTTTGTAATAATGACGCCTAATTATTCTTGTAGTTGGACTACATGTTCCCATTATGTGTGAGGGCTGAGAACGACCTAGTCGTACATTTTCAATGAAGGTGGTGTTGTTTGTGCTGCATATTGAGCCAAAGTTCTCATGTGACTTCTCAGAGCAGCAGATGGAGAGGAAGCAAAAGGCCCGGCCGGGGAAGAAGCACCTCCAATGTGTTTATTCTCCATAGTTCAGTGAAAGACAAAACAGTTCACACATTCACACGCTGTTCCTGCAGCTAACGCCTAACAGCTGTTCAACTGCAGTCGCACGCATTGCCAAGGCAAATCAGTAATTTGCAAAGACATTACCATAATGATAAAGGAAATCGCACACAACAACATCAGTTCTTAAAGCTTTAATTAATGCTGGTGATAATTTTCTGATTTACCATTTTGGGTGGTAATCACCGTGAACTTTCAATGCCATTCTTGAAGTCAAACTACCGTATTTTCCGCACTATTCAATTTTCTCAAAAACCGACAGTGCACCTTATAATCCGATGTGCCTTATATATGGTGTTACAGTCTCTTTATATTCCCCATGAAGTTGTTTCCCTGTTAGTGTTCCTATGCCATCTCGTGGTGATTATTAGCAGGAACCGATTGTAACGTAAAAGGGTTCGGCCCGACACTAATTGACATATGCATAAGTGTTTTTTACACCTGTTACAGATGTGAAGGCTCGATATAAATAAAGCTGTATTGTATTGTATTCTCTTCAGCGTTGCGCCATCTAGTGGATGCATAACACAACCGCAGCCACTCTTGTAGCTGCCATTGTATGCGCCTTACAATGGAGTGCACCCTATATATGAAAACAGTTTTAAAATAGGCCATTTATTGAAGGTGTGCCTCATACTCCGAAGCACCTTATAGTGGGAAAAATACGGTATGTTACTGAGAACTAAAACCTACTTGGCTTTTTGAACACAAGTATTTCACATCATACCCATCATTTGAACAGTGTAATGTTTTGAATAAATACAAAATTGCCACACTCAGTAAGGTTCCTGGTCATGGGTACCTCAAAAGGGTGCTTGGGTGGTGGAGGTTGAACACCTTCAGAGGTGACATAAATGTCCCCAATGTCTTGTTAAATTAAAGTTTATAGTATTATAGGAAAACATTAAACTAAGTCTGGGTAAAGTGAAGCGACGACAGAACCGGAGAACCCTACAGATGACGGGCAAAGTTTCAATTCAGTCAAGCTGTGACTCAACTTAAAGAGTTTGAGTATTCTGTGATTCTGTGAAGTTCTGATCACCATGCAGACCGAAATGCTTGCATATGATTAGGATTAGTTTTAGAATTGATCATTACCTCTGCATTCAGTGCCATCATTCGTCTGGAACTTGGGCTGCCCAGTTGAAATGTAACCAGGCAAACACGTACAGTAGTAACTACCCATTGTATTGGTGCAGTTGCCTTTGTTGCCGCAGATGTTTGTCACATTCTGGCATTCATTGTCATCTGTGGCAAGAAGAGAAGAACACTAGTTACCTGGGAAACCAGCTTGGCATAATTTGACAGTTAATCATTTGGCCTGACCACTGTCTGATGACAAAAGATGGAGGAAAAAAATGAAGTACCAAATTGACGTTTCAAGAAAAGTTATATGTTTCATACACAGCTATCTTTAATACATTGATTTTGAATGTGTCATATAGACCACTTCACAATGTTTGGAACCAACAGTCTTAAGAATACCACCGCTGACCCAAAGAAACCCACTTGGCAAAGAGAGTAGAGAGAGTCTCAAAAAACATTCTTGGTAATCTGAAAACGATGACAAAAACTTATGCTCGGGGTTGCACCACCATACGCGGTTGGAATTATTTTATCATTATTGCTTTGAATGAATGGCTAGCTGAGCACAGTACAGCACACTATCCAGTTTATGGTCAAAACAGCCCATGTAGGCCTTTAAAACTCAAGATCAATCGATGATTGCTTTCTTGGTTCGATAATTACAGTTTCTGTTGGGTCTCTGAGTTTACCTCCAAAGCAGGTCTTCTATACGATACAGCAGTTTGAGAAAAGGTCTTTACGTAAAACCACACGACGAAAATCATTCATTTGAGCTGTTTACCCTGTTCTGCCCATTGACCTACTTTGGCCAAAAGACATGGACTGGTTTGGTGATGAGTGGTCCTATCGAAGTACATTTTGGCTTATTTTGCCACCCGAATCAACAACTGACATCATGGTGAAGTGTCCAAACAATTTACTGTGTGCTATTATTGTGTGACTGTTGAGAGGCAAGCATTCTCAGAACTGAACAATTGTGTGTCAAAACTGTGTGAAATCAATGACTGAAAGGCAAAGCTGTGGAAATCGGAGCACAGCACGGTTCATAACATGAAGCGTCCAGTCAGATTGATCCAGTGACATGACGACACTGAAAGCAATGGTGTGTTGAATTTACTCAATTGGATTTTGTCAAGTGGTTGCACGGAATAAAATCATCTTGATCCTGATATATATTTATATTTTTTTAACTACTTGGATCCAGATATATATTTTTAAGTGTATGTACTTGAAAAAACTGGACCCAGATCCAGACGATTTTGTATTCGTGGACCACTTTCTGAAATAAAATCGAGTACATTTTACAAAAAAAAAAAAAAAGAAGAAGAAAAAACGTTTTGGTGTACACTGCTCCCAACCGCGGGGCTTTTATTGCATGGTGACTTGGGATTGATATGATATAGTGTGTTGTATTCTGAGGTGTTACATTTCCTCCTTTTGGCATTTGGCTCTGGTATGTGTGATGGATTATTTCTCGTCCATGAATTGCATTAGTTTACTGTGCAACTTTTTTTTGTTTTGGCTTGAAGGGAAGAATGCACACCATTTTAACCTGAATGTGTCTTTCACAAGCATCCATCCATCCATTATCCGAACTGCGTATCCTCAAGAAGGTCTCAGGCGGGCTGGAACCTATCCCAGCTGTCTTCGGGCACAATCACACCTCGAGACAATATAGAGCAGGGATGCCCATTAAGTCGATCGCGATCCACCGGTAGATCGCGGACTGGTCCCAAGTCGATCGCGAGGAGTGTAGAGGAGAAAACAAACAAACAACCATTTGTTTGCCTTTGTGCATGTTAGCAATATATATTTTTTGTGTTAATGTACACTGCACCCTAATCATCCTATCAGTCTCATTTTCACAAAAAGTATTAAAAAAATAAAATAAAATAAAGCAGGTAAATCTTTAACCTGCGGTAGCGCATGACCTGCGTCACCGGAATGTTTTTGGAATGTGGGAGGAAACTGGACTATTGAGAGAAAACCCACGGAGGCACGAAGAGAACACGCAAACACCACACAGGAGCCCAGATTCAAACCCTGGAATTCTGTACTGTGAGGCGGATGTGCTTACCAGTCACTCACCGTGCCTCCTACTTCACAAGAACAGAAAATACAATTTATCAAATGGATGGATGCTGTGTAAACATAGTTTTTGCTCAGTCATAAACAAAACTGTTTTTCTTTTGACAAGGAGCCATGTCCATTCAAATAATTAGAATGGAAGATTTTTGTGGTTGTTTGCTTAGTTCTACTTTAAATACTATATTTAATTGAACACCCGATCTCTGATGAGAACAATTTCTGATGATGCTGAGGTGACTCTATGCCCATGAAGTTTACTGGAACTGACTTGGTATGAATTTCCACTGCTGTTTTCACGTGTCTATTGAGGACAAATACTGTACCTTTCCTCTCATCTGTACTTTGTGCACAAGGGTTGTCCAAGAGGGGATATCCTGCCTTCTCATGCGAGGTGACTAGGACTCAAACGGGAAATACCTCGCAGCATGCACAGGATGTGCTTGCAGTCGCTCCGACACAAGCATTGCACCTGCATGCTCGCTTTCATGTTTTATCTGAGCCATCATCCAAAAAAAAAAAAAAAGTTTTTCTCTGTTTGCATAACAAAAAAAAAAGCACACAGGATTAAGTTGTAACAGTCGATTTAGAGACTGAATTTTATTCATCCTGTTTGTCTCAAAAACATCTGCCAGTGCTTATGTGGTGGAAAGTTGAATTTTCAGCACTGTGCAAAACTGTTGGGCTCCCATTAGCGATGCCAAAATGTTAAGATATAACTATAATACCAATCATTAAAGTCCAAATATTTACTAGTATACAAGGTCAAAATGAATGTGGCGCAAATGCTTCATGAAACAAAACTTGCAGTACAGAGAAATCATATTTAAACCTTTTTTTAATGGCATCACAGCTCCCACATCGACTAAAGACATTCAAACTTATTGGAACGCACTTTAAACCCATTGAAAAAAATATATGATTGCAATAAACCTCATAGTAGAATTTCCAATGTGGAGTTTCAAACGGAAAATACCTTTGAAGGTACATGTACATGCAAATCAGAATCAGAATCATCGTTCAGGCCAAGTATGTAGAACACACAAGGAATCAGTCTCCGGTGACTAGTATTTCAATAACAAGCAACTAAGACAAACAAAGATGTGACATATAAGTTTCAAAAGACTTTCTGGAATGTAACGGTGCCTTAGTGCAGTAGTGCCACCTACTGACAGCTGTGCGACAATGTGCAGAGTCATCGAGCAGAGATCAAATGTAATCGGTGGGGCAATACAAGAATATGATGGTTGTGCAGTTGGTGCAGATAATCGTCGCACCATTTTTTTAAGTGACCGGTTGCAGGAATTGTAGTACCACCACAATTATACAGAAAGTCCTTGAGCACTTTAAATATTACGTATTCACCACTCAAAATTGTTTACTGTGGACTAGCAGTTCCACGCTTCCATGGTGCTACTCTTTGTCTATATTCACAGTTCTTTAATTATTACTTGAGATTTATCTGAAAAGTAGTTTGAGGGGTAGAACTGTACACTGGGCCCTATAAAGTTGAATGTGAAACGAGAAGTGAAAGTATTTGAAGAAAGAGTATTCTCATTCAAACCAGGATCGAAATTGTTTGACCGGCTCCCGGAAACCTGGACAATAGAGATTGTACTTTATTTAATTTGAGTATTAATATTTAAAATGGCCACTTATTCATGGAATAAAATAGCAGCAAATTGTCACAGAAATATTAAAACTTGTTTAGAATATAAATCTTAATTCTTTCTCACTCTATTTGACACATTCTTTTAAAGGTTCCATTAAGACATGTATGGACATTTCAATTGGCAACTCATTATTATGTGTTTTAAAAATCAGAAAACCTACTAGTAATTTGGTATGAGATTCACAAAATATTGAAATGTCTACAAAACATACACACAAGACTATTCACATTGGAAGTACTCAGTGACCATATGAATATTTTTCTGGATTGATATTTACCATTGCAAAACGTCGTCCCATCTCCGGTATATCCATGGCGACAAAAGCAAGCCTCGTCCGAGCCATTCAAAGCTCTGCATGTTGCGAGTTTGTGGCAAGAATCACAAATGTCAGACAATCGGCAGGGGTCCATCATACTGGAGAGCCATGCTGTAAAGACACAAACACAAAACGGAGCCTTTGGAAATATGCCACAACATTTTAGTCCCTGTATTGCCGTCACAATCATTAGTTGATTACAGCAGTCACGTACTAACGGGAATATGATGGTCATGGCAACATTGCGCCCCATACAACCATGTAAAGTTTGCTTGATTCACATACCTGTCAAAAGGATTAGTTTCATTGGTGACCAGAGCGAAGACTCCATAATTGCGCTGGTTCTGAATCTGCCTTTTAGCAGACTGTGTGCAGTGGGCTGGCTTCTGACGTCGCCCATTTCCTTAAGTCACTTTTCCTGTTTCTCTAAACCTGGCCCTTCCTGTCTTGATCGTTAATCTGCTTCTACCACAAAAAAAAAAAAAGACTAGAAGCACCGTCCCTCGGCTACCTTATCCTCATCAAAAAGCAGTGTCTTCATTTGATCACACTTCGCATCCACTGTATAATGTTTAGAAGCATTGGTGTTTGTACTTCAAGTCTTCCTGTGGTTCATGTTGCCCTTTGGAAAGCCTCTGTTGCCATTGTTCAATTGTCCAATGAGGTTTTACTCAGGGCACAACAACTCGGACTATGGCTGGAGTCAAGGATGACCTCCTCCCTTCCGTAGATAAGTTTACATAACTCCACTGCTGCCATCTTCAACTACACAGGCCTGCGTAACTCACAGTGTCTTGTCATCTTGCTGCTAAATCTTGCTAATTATTTGACAAGATTTTAGCTGTAATACTAATTACACTAAATTCTATTTGCTGTCATTTTTATACAAATGAGCAATCCGACATTTTCAATACATCACTATCCAGAAATAACACTTCTTTTTCTTTTATTCATATTGACAATAGTAACACAAAGCGTTGTTTTTATCTGACAATTCCATGAACACTATTGTCACAGATTTAGGTGAAGCCAAATGAAAAGTTTACGTTTTGACTTTTAGTCGCATTTTGAGTCCCTATGAGAACATTAAGAGAAAGAAAGACTGGACAAAACAGTCTGCAAGTGGACTCATAATAGAGTCCACATGTGAATGCGCAGGCTATTGTCTGGAGAGTCCTGAGCCGCTGCCACCAACCCCGAACAGTCCAAACATATGTGGGTGAAGGAAAAAGGTCACTTTCTGCGCAGACGGCAATAGAAAAGTGCCAGAGTGTTGTGGTGGAAAATACAATTTCCGCCGACGTGATTCCACACGTGTTGCTCGTTTAGTGGCAAAATGTTGCATTTGTCCCATGATTTATTAGCCCGAGTGCCGAACAAGAGTTCAACTGTTATGTTATGTTAAAAAAAAGTCTCCCAAAACTTCTGGCTCATTTAAGTTGCACCATTTCATTACATCATTGCTGTTGCAAGATTAAAATCAGATGAGTGGTGACTCGTGGAATCTTTAATGGCTTAAAATACAAACGAAACAATGAACTGCTTCATACCGTATTTGCTTTGCTGTGATGAACTAAAGAATATGCTGATATTTATGAATTTTTCTCCCCCCAGTCACTCCAGTTTATGTTAAACTAGCTGAACTCCTGGAAGTATTTTTTGTTTTGATGGCTTAAGTCCCCGAGAGAACTTTTTTTTTTTTTTTTAAACAAACTTATCCAGACAGAAATGTTCTGAATGTAGTTGTGTTTTTTTTCATGACTTTTTAGTGAGAAAATAGTGAGACAGACAACGGATACAGTAGAATCAGATGTTCAAGGTAAGATTTTTTTTTTCTCCTTCAAAGTTACGAAGGCCCTTTTATATCCATGCAGCCGATGAATATTAATGCTCCAAAGTGTTATGTCAATGCATCATTTACTTGGAGGAAGTTGGGAAACAGGTGAAATGAAATGTGAACCCAATAAAGACAAGTAGCCATTCAGGTGTAACTGAGGTCTTTTTAGACCCGATTTTTCGCTTACAAACACATTCATTGATGAATAGTCTCTCTTGGAGGACTTCTTTGTTGACTTTATTGCAATCTGTGGAGGCGGTTTGAATTGCTTAGGCAAGGCATGGAGTTTGCTGAGAGAGGCAGCCGCATTGAATGGCACTGTTAGAATTGCTCGACATTACTGTCCTGGGAAAGAACTCGGTGAAAAACACATCTGAATGTCTCGCTCACACTTTCTCCTAAAACGGTAAGGAAGGAAATGATGTTGACTCGAACAAACCTGGACTGATTGCACCCTTCCACGATGCTTTTTCCTCTTCTCGGGAATGCTCACATTGAGTGAGGGGTTCTTAAAAGCTCTCATGGGAGGTTTATTTGCTTCATAGTTTGTATGCGAAAAAAAAGAACACCTGAGACGAGTGCGGAGACTTTGCTTTCCCTTCTTATTGATATGGAAATTATGACTCAGAAGTGGCAGAATTTTGCATCGGTTTGACACGTGGCTGCTGTTTAGGCTATATCCAGACTTGAAGTGCAGTGTTCGCTGGGTAATCTGTTTTGATACTTGGCACAGGTGATATCGACCTTATGGTCCGCCTGATGGGAGGACTGTTTACTGAGCCACAGATGGCCACAATTCTCTCTCATAAAAACTGGGAGAGGTTTATTATTCCAACACCCAAAGTTGAAAAGTGAGCATACTCTTGTGTTCTTTTCTCCTGCTAGCTTCAGTGTGAGTGGGCATCCTGCCCACATTTTCTGTTCCTTTCCACCTTGACAAGCTCTTTAGAGCTGTTTGGATGAACAGAATTAGAAGAAATTGGAGAGGTCTATCAAATAAAAGTTCCTTTTGAGGTGGGGAAAAGACCCAATACAGAAAGGTATATAGATGTGTTATCGGAGTGTGGTGCCTTGAGATAAAAATGCATTCCATGACCATGCTAGAAACTCAAAACACTTTTACTGTATCTGAAAATCATCTTTTCTCCAATGAAATGGGTGGGGTAGTGAGTTACAGTGCGTTTAATGCGAAAATGTAACACTCCATAATATTGTACATAGGGTTAATGACATAATTCAAAAGAATTACAAAGCATGACACCGTTTTTGCCTCAATTGAATGCTGCTCGTGGTGTGCCCACCTTGGCTTGTTGGGGAAGTCTAAAAGATATCCATTCATCCATCCATCCGTTATCGGAGCCGCTTATCCTCTTTGGGCAATAAGCAGGGTACACCCTCAACTGGTTGCCAAGCCAGTTGCAGGGCATACATAGACACGCCCAGGCATGGGGAGAGCATGCAAACTCCACACAGAAAGGCTGGAAAAAGGAATCAAACCCCAGACCTCTGCACTTTAAGTTGGACATGCTCACAACCTACTTTGGTTGGCTTATTATCAATCTCATGAGGCCAGACACACCTAGCAGCAATATGATTATTTTCAGTTTCACTACTTTGTTAAAAAGATTAGGGTTAATTCAACACTTGTTTTGTCTAATTTGACGATGTGCTATTTCGTCAGAAGAGTTGGTTTCAATGAGGGTGTTTAATTAAGCTCTGTTGTTGATATGTTTAAAAAAAAAAACAATACTCAACAATTATTATCAGCATTCCGACATATCAGTGACATGTTTGCCTTGAGAGGAAACAGCAGACAACCACTTGGCGCTTCTTTCGACTTTGCTGCTTCGTCTCATGTGAAGATTAGCGTGATTTTCGGATGCTATATTTTTGATGGGTGTACTAATGTACCTTTTGCATAAGTGCTAATGAAAATAGACAATTTGCTGATCTCAAATACACACATTTCAGTAAGATGGTAAACTACAACTACGCATTTTTTGTGTTTTAAAGCTAGCTGCAGAGTTGATCTGACTATTTGGCCGCCTGTTCAATGCAACACTTCAGCTCAGTCCAGGAAATGTTCCACCAGCACAACCTGATAGTCGGAACAGAAAGTGAGAGGCGTTCGGCACTGATAACCAAGGTTTCATTTTGACTTGCACAGAGGATGCTTTGTATTTGGATGATTATCACTATGACAAACAGTTTTCTAATTACCGCTACATGTGTGAACCACATTAATTGTGCCCCATTGCAATATTGGGTGTCATGATAATTGCAGTAAGTCTTTTTTTCCCTTTTTTTTTCCATTTTCTTTTTTAATGTGGTGTGTGCTTGTTTGAAAAACAAAAATGATTCAAACTGCAGTTTATGCATAATTTATTTCTTTATTTCCTGTTTCACTTATCGTTTTGGGAAATAACAATTGTTGATTGACTCTCGGTCGTAGTTTAAAAATGAAAATCAACCATAGAAGATTTTTATGTTGTTTTATATTCATCAAATATAATGTTAATGCAATATGAACCTTATTCAGGGTAAAAGGAAGAAAGAAACCTGCCTGATAGTGCTAACCTTTAACACTGCATACCACTGTTTAATAAATTCAGCACGATGTGTAAAATTTCACATCTGACTGGGAGTGTTTATCTCATTGTTTAACAATGTTTTTTTTTTTTTTTTTAATCTCAATCTAGAGCGGACCTGTAATGACACGCTCGGTTTATAGTAATTGATTGTTTTTGCACCTTAGTTACCGTTGGTGTCTGGTAACATGTAAAACCGTGATTGGTATGGTTATAGGTAAGTGACATTAGTATTCACTCCGATATATGTTGACAGATGTGACATGTTTTGATACATATTTTCTTTCTTCCTTCTTCCTACAAATAAATCAAGGAAGCCCAGTTTATTTTGTTTTCCAAATGTTCTCATCAAAATCAAAATGTTGACTGTTTGCAGTAAACACAAAAAAAGTTTGCATTTAAAAAAAAAAAAAATCAATGTTCTTTTTCTTTTATATAGATTGGAATGTTATAGACGACAGTTTCCCCAAAGTTAGGATGCAACTAAATTTCCTTCACACTTGAATGCTTCACAAAAGCATTTGTCCCTACCCGGATTGAACACAGTTGAATGATTCTATCCATATTCCTGAGTTCTTCGACAGTCAGTTTTTTCCCCCCCTAGATTTTCGGCAAGGAGCCACAAGTGTTACTGATTGGGGCTTTTTTTTTTTTTTCCCTACCCGCCAACCCCTTGTTAGTTTAACCACTGAAACAAAATGTCACGATGGACCGAGGTTGTGTTCCTTCAAGGATGCAGTGCATGGTATTCTATGCTATGAGGTAGTGACAATGCTAATTTCAAAACAGTTCAATCAAAGATACGTTATATTGTCAGAAATACCGGATAAGATGAACTAGTTTATGTAATTCAACCCATAGGCTCATAAGATAGATAATTACTATCATTTATTGAGCGCATGTAGCACAGTTCAATGCACAAATTGAATTACAGTATTTATAAAGTGCACAAAAAAATGAAGGACAAATATTAACCATCTAACACTTTCCATTTGTTAAGCCACATCTTAATGGTTTTGCAATGTAATCCTTACATAAGATCTCATGCCTTTTTTCAAATAATTATTTGTGATGACGTTAAAAACTGCATTGATGTATGACGCGCGATGTGTTCTAACCTTTGG